TCCTCGATTACAGATGAAGTCTTGACGGGCATCTTTATAGGGGTGTGTGGGTCAAGTGGATATAACTCTCGTTTCATGACCCAACAGTCACCAAATCGAATCCCGCTGCTGGCCACCAATTGGGGCGACCTCAGTCGACCCTGCTGCAGAATGGGTACCTAACTACAGTATACAGCCAGGACAGTGAAAGGTGGTCGAGCACTGTGACAGCCACAATGCCTCCTTGTGTACCAAGGACTTAATGTTCCCTGCCCTATATCCACACCGCCCCAAACAGATCTTCAAGCTTGTGGACCTGCAGCAGAGATTTGGATTCACTCCCCCGGCTCTGGGTTTATCACTTAGCAGTTATAGCTGACGTGTCCTCTATGTAGTGCTAATGTCCGCTATCAACTATGTCATAAGAGCTGGGCAGCAAAAAGAAGATATCATGCCAGATGTGTTAAGGTAATGAGAGGGGAGTGTGATGGGGGGGTGGTGCTGGTGGGGGTAAGAGAGGGTAGTGCTGATGGTGGGTTAGGAGAGTAGGGGTGCTAATGGGGGTTAGGAGAAAGTAGAGGTGCTGATGGGGGGTTAGGAAAGGGTAGGGATGGAGGAGAAGGTAGGGGTGCTGATGGGGTTAGGAGAGTAGGGGATAGGGTTGATGGGGTTAGGAGAGGGTAGGGGTGCTGATGGGGGGTGGAGAGGTAGGGGTGCTGATGGGGGTTGGAGGAGTGGGTAGGGTGCTGATGTGGGATTAGGAGAGGGTAGGGTGCTGATGGGGGTTAGGAGAGGGTAGGAGTGCTGGTGGGGGTTTAGGAGGAGAGGGGTGCTGATGGGGGTCAGGAGAGGGTAGGGTGCTGATGTGGGGATTAGGAGGGTAGGGTGCTGATGGGGGTTAGGAGAGGGTAGGAGTGCTGGTGGGGTTTAGGAGAGGTAGGGTGCTGATGGGGGTCAGGAGAGGGTAGGGGTGCTGATGGGGATTAGGAGAGGGTAGGGGTACTGATGGGGTTAGCTGGTGGGGATTTAGGAGAGGGTAGGGGTGCTGATGGGGGGTCAGGAGAGGGTAGGGTGCTGATGTGGGGATTAGGAGAGGGTAGGGGTGCTGGATGGGGTTAGGAGAGGTAGTAGTGGATTTAAGAGAGGTAGGGGTGCTGGTGGGGGTTAGTAGAGGAGGGGCTGATTGGGGTTAGGAGAGGGTGGGGGTGCTGGTGGGGGTTAGGAGAGGGTAGGGGTGGTGGGGGGCTTAGGAGAGGGTGGGGGCTGGTGGGGGTTAGTAGGGGTGGGGGGGTGGGGGGCTAGGAGAGGGTGGGAGTGCTGGTGGGGGGGTTAGTAGAGGGTGGGGGCGGGGGGGCTGGTGGGGGCGTGAGAACAGGGAAGGAATCTGGGGCTAAGAGCTTGGTGTGGCTTGTCGCTATTTTGAGCACACCTGCCCCGCCTCCCCGCTAGCAACGAGACGGTATCCAGCAGCACGCCCACGCCCTCGTTAACTGCCTCCGCCCACGCTCTCCTTAGCTGCCCAGCCCACATCCTCGTTAACTGCCCCAGCCCACGTCCTCGTGAACTGCCCTCACCAACGCGCCCGTTAGCTGTCCCCCGCCCACGCCCTCGCTAACTGTCCCCACCCATGCCCTCGTTAACTACTCGTTTTACAACAAAACAACTGATATCACCTGACATCAACCACCGTGCGGCCACGCTCAGAAACTTATCAATTAGGAACACTGACTAGCGGACTTCTACATACATTCAACACCTCAACCCGCCAGAATTCGAACCCACGGCCCACGAGCCTATCTGTGACCGGGGAACGCAAACCGCTGGACCACCAGGATACCAAAAACCATCCGAGACTTTGTTATATTTCACACAAAGCCTGTTCAACGAGCTTATGGCGTCGTGAATCTCTAATGGAGACTACCTGTATCACGTATATATATATATATATATATATATATATATATATATATATATATATATATATATATATATATATATATATATATATATATATATATATATATATATATATATATATATATATATATATATATATATATATATATATATAATTGCGTTTTGAAATACCCTATTTCCTCTAATTTCCTTGTAAAAAGTTACTTCGCTCTTTTATCGTTAAAAAACGTGGCAACTGTCACCAACACATTAAGCAGCTGCCCACGCACTCTTCCAGATGACATACACAGTCCCTTTCACTAGTGCGTTTACAGGGGCTCGTCGAGTGTGTCTTCATGTGGGCTTAACTTTTCTAAGGCAAATCAGATTAGTATCGAATAGATTTGGATGGTATATGCCTGAATGAATCTACCAGAACAATTGTTAATTTAAACACTATATTAAAATACGGCGTAATAGTATTTTCATTTATACATTAACTTCGAAATTCTATATTGACTGACGAGAATGTGTAACTCAGGCAACAGGTTTACAGCGTCCACTATAATAGGGGGTAAAGAAACTGACAGATTAAGTCAATTACTGTCATTGTATCTTTATTTTTAATATCGATAACTTTTAAGTGCACCTTATTATGACCTCATTTTTATATAATTTTGAACACATGGAAATTCCTGTAGCTGTACCTAAATCTGTGCTTGTACTGGCGTTCCTGAGTAAATTTTTTGAATCTACAGAACAAAGTAATCATGACTGACGTCAGCATAGTTCTGGACGGACCAGGAACAATGAACTGAGTACGACATACACACATAGGTGCGGCAGTGACGGGTCTGAACCTGCCATTGTGACGGGTCAACTAACATGGTATGTCTGCTATGTCAACATTTGGATGTATCTATCGCCTTCCTCAGATCTAACACACAAAAAGAAAATACTACAGGGAATGAACAGTGGAACCTCAAGTGTTTTTCTATTGTTGGGGATGTTGGGGGGGGGGGAGGGTGGAACACACTGCTGTACTCCATAAAAATATATCTAAAAGCCTGTAACTTCCCATCTTCACTAGGGTGACATTCGGGGCATCATTTTTTTTATCGATTCTTATAAGAATTTAGGAGAATGTTGCTGTGATGAAACTACAGGTACCGGTAACAAATAAAGATATATATTTTTTTACTTCTTCATCAATAAATAACTTCTTTATCACTATTATGCTGAGGACAAAAACTGACTATAAATATATTTGTTCAGAGACCATTCGATTTTAAACTTACACAATAGGCTATGCTAGTCATCAATCACTACATTATAAACCAAGGAAATGAATAGTATACTCCGTCACCTTTCCTCTCTCCTATTGTATCACCTCTTCCTTCTCCCCGCCATACTATGTTACCTCCCTACTATGCAATTTTTCTCCCCAATTTGTACATTTGTTTCCTCCTCACACTGCCATATTTTCACCCCGTACTCGCAAATTTATTCTCGATATTTTGTTACTTTTTCACACTGTCTTGTTTCTCCCTTCCTACGCGAAATTTGCTCCTATCTATGCAGTTTCCTCCATCACATACCGTGCCCTTATTTATGTTCGTCTCTTCTCCCCATTAAACCATTTCCTCTCCACTTGGCTAAGTCTCCTCTCTGCCGCAGCCGCTTCGGAGGTGCTCCAGCTATTGTTTACAATGTAAACAATCGACAGGATAAATAAACCAGTCAGAGAGTCTCACAGCGGAAGAAGCTGTACCACCACCGCCCACACCAGCAGGATACGAGACTCGGCACAGTGATCTTATGGGGTCTAATGATGGAAATTGGCCCCTAAGGCGAGAAACATCGCATGTAGTTTCATTAAACAGCATCTTTATCTGAGTTCCAAGATAAATACATGTGCAGGCGAATGACAGTATGGGTGATAAAAATTGGTCATTGATGCGTTAATCCAGGGCTAGTTATCCGACAGGAATGTATTGAGACTTGAAAAAAATCTCTTTGCATGGATACGTATTTTAGGTCAGACAGTCGCGAAAAATGGACATTAGGCTTACTAAACACAGCTAAGTAATTATGTGGCAATAATAGGTCAGTAGTATAACATTTTTCAGTGTAAAGTGGGTATACAACGAGAAAGAATATATTCGTCATTTTGAATTATATATATATATATATATATATATATATATATATATATATATATATATATATATATATATATATATATATATATATATAGAGAGAGAGAGAGAGAGAGAGAGAGATACAAATACCTCACGAATATGTAATAAGCAACAGGCAGCTATCAAACAGGGAGGTACTACCGCCTGGGAAGATATTGGAAGCATAATGTGTTGTCTATGGTAGACCCTGCTGCATATGGTATCACAAAAAATGTGACCAAGTCCCGGGTTGCTGATCTGACTTTCTGCCACATTTACACACAATTGCAGGGACTCAATTGTTTCTATTACTTTGACAACACAACATACATACATCGTTTCTCTCTATTTTTTATTTATTTTATTTATTTATTATTATTATTAGTAGTAGTAGTAGTAGTAATAATAATAATATTATTATTATTATATACTGTATTACTATAATATATTTTATTTAATATTTATTTTAATTTTTATTAATGTTTATTAATTATTATTTATTATTATTATTAAATTTTCGCCCCAGGCCCTGTTGTGGGTCATTGACCTGTGCTCTGGTGAGCTAATCCCGTAAAAAAAAAATTGGGAACCGAACCCAGGACTTCTGCGTGTGAATGGGGATCGCTACTACCGCGCCACAAGGCCAAAAACCTATTTTCTTGTGGTAGTTCATGTAACAATATTTGCTAATCTTTTCCTATCTAACGTTATCACCACACACACAAACAACATGTAGATAAACAATAATAACTAACATTCACTGCACAACTACCAACTCTACAGCCCAGCTTTACTAACGTGTCATTCGACAAGGGAGCGGCTCTTCATGAACAGAATGTGTCAGGTCCCCTTAAGACAGGAGTAGAAGACTGCGATGTCGACATAATCGTATCTAATCCAATGAGAAAAGAAGGACCAATCCTGAACAGTGGAATGAGGACTTACCCGCTGTATGGTGAGTGGTTTCTTGTAGTCGGCGCCGCCCTGGAGTCGGAAGCCCCATGAGATGGATTCATCTGACCGCTGCAGTAGGATATTCAGTAGCTTAACCATCCTGTTCGTCGGTCTTGAGCGAGTTGACTGGCTCCTCACTACAACCCAAAGCTTTCTGCCTCCTGCAGAACCGCAAAATACTCAAGCAGACCTCAACTAGGAGGCCGGCCCAGCTTGTTTGTGGTTTAGCTCACCAGGGTCAATTATCTCCTCTCCACCAAGTTACAGCAACCTCTCCTGATAAGTTTCATGTACTTCCTGTAGTTGTAATGACTCTGAGCAATGGAGGATGTTTCATTATCTTTGCTGACAACAGAAAGAATAAAACAAATTATGAATAATCGTCTTCGAAATGTGCCAGGTTTCTAGATTCCAAAATTAGCACTTATTTACACCCCGTTCTTCTGCACACTGTTATCACACAAAACAAGATTTCCAAATTCGATTGTACACTTAAACAAAACTGTGTCAGTAAAACATTACTTCCGTACAGATCCCAGCTCGCCACACCACTGTCGTTCATTTAGTATAAACCCCAAAACTGAGTTTATCTTCCGATAGGATGCATCTTCCATGTGTGATAATCACGAGGATATGATTCTGTAATGAAGAGCGCCTGAGGGAGTGGCAGTGAGTTATCACAGAGTACGGCAGGTTGGTCCCAGTGTCAACACAAGTATAAGATGCTGATGTAAACCTTCCTCGCTCTAAGTTAAGGTGTAGCATGGCACTGTGCCAAAGAGCTACAAGATGCTGTGTGTGTGTGTGTGTGTGAGGCTAGTGTGTGGGTGTGTGTGTGTGTGTGAGGCTGGTGTGTGAGTGCGCGGGCGTGTTTTTGAGTGTGTCGATATAAATAATAATTTTTTGAATTGAAACGAGAATATCTGGTACACATAGGGGAAAAGACTAAGGTAACATAAAATCAAGTGCAGAAAGAAATACGATATATTGCAGGACTTTGATTGATTTGCATACAGAAAACAAAATTAATAAATAAGTAGGTGATATATGCCTTTACAGTACTGTACATGGGGGTTGACGATATTACAGGCACTAACTTGATCATTCGCTGTCCACACGACGTTGGTGGCCAGGAAATATTCTATTTATTATAATGCACAATTATTTATGGGGTGGCATTAGGCCCTTTATTGATGATTCTTTGGCTACATCGTGAATTTTTGTGCTGTTTGGCGATACACATATGCCGAATAAACAGAAGAAATGCAAATAATCAGAGAAGTCTAATTTTCTGGGGACATGTGACTAACACTTCCCCTATTTCTCTATTCAAATTTGATATAATTGACACAAGCAATCTCTTTGATAACAATTAATGCCCAGTCCTGAGAAATTTTGATTGACAAGGAGTTGGAGATGCAGAAGCTCTGATCATTGGAACTAGATACAGTTTTTACTACTGTGTAAGTTGGCATGGCGTTTGCTAAAAAGGTCACCATTAAGGATTTGGCAAATTTTGGTGAGTTCTTTGTTGACATGACAAACTTGACAATCATACTGTCACATTGCAGACACGCCAAGCGCATCGATTTTGTGATGGTAAACTACATCAGAAGATCCATATAAGACAGAAAACGAACCAGGAGGACTTTCACTCAGGTTATTGAGTAACTAAAGGAATATCAGATTTGATACACAGCTGAATAAGGATATGATTTCTGACCATCAATTCAGATCATAACCTTGCTCGAGAAGTGCTCCTCAGCAAATGGATTAAACAGCAATACCCTCTTCGTTGCCTTAATTAATGCAAAGATCATAATCGTATGATGTCAAATGGGTGGCTGAAATGCCATTTCATTAACAAAGGCAGCATTGGTGTACTTCCAGAACTGGACACAGACTGGGAGGAGGTCGATGTACACACTACGCTTCAGATTGTCTACCATGGATATTATTAGTCCTAATCTAGGATACAAACAGAAATTTATATCAAACTGAGTTGACGCCTGAATACGCACAGAACCCTCCTAGCCGGAGGAATACTGTACAGTTAAAAAGTGACGAATGGAAAACAAGGTAACTGATTTACTGTAGTTCGCCAGTAAGATGCCGTGGCCGTGGTTCAACTATTGTTACCCGCTGATGCTCTAGTTCTGTGAATGTAAGCATAACAATGTGTCAGTTAAAAGATAAATACTGCATTATTTTCTTTTAGTTTTATCAAATGTAACCAATTTAACTCTGCAATAATTAATGCATTTTCTTGTAGATGTTAGACGACAGTAGAATTTATGGCTTATACGTATACATGTTAGTTAAATTTGTGGACTTTCAAAAAGTTAATCCATTTCGAGTGGCAATTTAGTAGCACTTAAATAGAATGTAGAAACTCTGGTATTTCCACTAGCTTGTGACGTTGTAGTTCAATTATATTTTTGGCATGTAAACACTCTTACAAACTTGTGTTTGGTACTCTGCGATAGGAGAGTATCTGAAAATTTATGTTCTTTATTTAAACAAATGTGGCGAGGCACCATAGCATGGGTACTATAACTCGCACTGTGATACACTGGTTCTTTAAAAAGAGTGATCCAGTTTGAAATAAATGTATAGTTTTGGTGTTCGCTTACCATATGTTGACATGGACATTGTATGTATTGTAGACATAACTAATTATCCTTTAATTAATAAACATAAACAAAATTACACACACTCACACTTAATGTATGACTCAATTAAGGCAGGATTGTGTCATCCTCCCCGTTGGTTTGTGCCACCTACTAACTGCTAGTTTAGCAAATTAAGTGACTATTTATAATACTATGAAGGTGGCAGAGCGAGCCTTGTTGCTGTGGATGCCTTCGTCAGCAGGATAAGTATAACCATGATGCAAGAATGTGAAAGAATACATTAAACATGCGAATGTAAACAATGACAAACAGTAGCATATAGTCTAGAAAACTCTAAACTAAGATGGTGTATTTTATGGAAGTTTGCACTGAGAATTAGAGAAAGCTTCTCTACACAACCTGTGCCCTACAGCAATATAAATATACAAAACGGCAGGTAAACAATCGAGTAAAGCTTGCGAGGAATGGTAGGGTGGGCAGTGGGCAATTGGGCCGACTCTTAGCATTTGGCAACACACCAACAACTCGTTTCACCTGCTGTACTCCGGCCACCTCCACTTCACCTATTATAACCCGTACTTTTACGACTTTCGTTGGTTAGGGTAGATTTATGTGTTTTCTCAGACTCCGTTGGTGAACCTTTAATACTAGAGCTTATTGGACGACCGGCTTATCATTTCAATTTCGTGTATATCTCCTCGAATTTGGGTAACCGCTGACATAAGCAAGTTTGCGGATGTCACCAAAATAGGGCGGCAAATTAATTCAGGGCAGGATGCAAATGCATTACAGTAGGATCTAAATAAACTGGAGGGGTGGTCTGAAAAATGGCAAATGAAATTTAACACCAGCAAGTGCAGCGTACTTAATATTGGAAGAACAAATACTTATAATGTATACAGCCTTAACAACATCAACCTAGAGAAGTCGACTTGTGAAAGAGACCTAGGGGTACTTGTAAGCCCGGACCTACGGCCTAGAAAACAGTGCGTTAATGTTCGAAATAAGGCAAACAGAGTATTGGGTTTTATATCTAGAAGTGTAAGTAACAAGAGTGCAGAGGTCTTATTGCAACTATATCTTGCGCTAGTCAGGCCGCACCTCGATTATGCGCTTTCAGTTCTGGTGCCCCTATTATAGAATGGATATAAATTCACTAGAGTCGGTGCAGCGAAGAATGACAAAAATTATTCCGGGACTTAGAAACCTTCCATATCAGGATAGGTTAAAGAAACTTAACTTGCATTCCCTAGAAAGACGAAGAGTGCGGGGAGATATGATAGAAGTATTTAAGTGGGTGAAAGGAATCAATAAAGGGGATATAGATAAAGTTCTTATAATATCCGAGCAGGATAGGACTCGGAGCAACGGATTCAAGTTGGATAAGTTTAGGTTTAGGAGGGAGATAGGAAGAAACTGGTTCACAAATAGGGTGGTGGACGAGTGGAACAAGCTTAGCAACTTTGTAGTAAGTGCGGGAGCTCTGGAAAGTTTCAAAAGGAGGCTAGATAGATTCATGGATGATAGAGAGTGGTAGTAACTCTCGACAGGAGCTGCCATGCACAGGCCAACCGGCCTATTGCAGACTCCTTATTTTCTTATGTTCTTATCCATTAATTTGGAAAAGAGGGTAACAATCGAGGGTTATGTTGCATTGTATATGCAAGACTAATATTTTTTTTTTTAAATCCCTCTAATAGCTAATAATAAATTGTGGTAACAGCATAGCGACGTGCACGAGATTTGGACAAGTCAAGGTGTTGTCCAGTGTGAGGATGCAAAGTGATATCCTTGTCCATGTTTGAGAAAAGAAAAATACCTCACTGCTGACTACAGAGTGAACAATTATAAAATTGTACATATAAACAAGCCCGCCTGGAAAAGGAAGGCTGGCTTAACACTAGAATAACCCGTTATAGTACTGTACATCCTTCTTTCCTCACACAGCCAAACTGTGGAATGCTCTGCCTTCTTTTGTTTCCATACTCATACAATGTCTCACTTCAAAAAGCTGGTTTTCGGCATCTTCGTGATGTAGAACTGTAGATTAATAAAATATTTTTCTTTGCTATTTTTAATTTATATTTACTCTTATTTTTTCGCCCCTAAGGCCCCGTTGTGGGTCGATGACCTGTGCCCGGGTGGGCTATTCCCCGTATATAAAATAATAATAAAAAATAAAAAATAGGCTAATAAAAGAATCCTCAAAGTGGTGACTCCGTCTCCGTAACGACGGCTCAACCCCGCTGTAACTATTCATCCTGCTGTCCACTACAGTATACTTTGTGAACAAAGAAAAATATGTTTTTTAAATTGGCTCAGATGACGGATAGAAAGGCGCCTAAATAAATAATCATTGTTGTAGGTTGCCAATCCACAACCCTCTATGTGTAGTTTTTTTTTTTCAATTCAAACGCAGGAACACTCGACCATTTTCACGCGAGACAGGTGATAAGGTACCCATTACTCTATTTTCCATGTGTATGCCTGGATACTTATTTATAGGTATTCATAAAGACCTGCTTAGCCGTGTTATGATTACAACTAATAATATCATACGGCCTCTGTTCAACTTTTCTCCTTATTTCTAAAATACACATTGTCTTGAATGAGGGATTAATTATTTTACGTCACAAAACTAGCCACTAATCTAATTCCATTTTGTTTATGTATGTTTTTCGTCACAGGTGTGATAAATTATTTTCAAGTGTTTCTACCTTTACTGGTAATCAGTTCACAGAATCACCCGTATTATGTTTCCGAGTTTTCTCTTATCATTCTTGGTTTGTCATGAGAAAAGTAAGTTCCAATATTACAGTATGATCATCATTAAAGTAATTAAAAAATAAATTCAATGATAATCCATACGATGTTCCTTTTTCATAATCTAAAGACATATTTCACGGAAACCTTACATCTTATCTTAATTTTCTCTATTTTCGTTTTCAGGAAGAATTTCTCTAACACTTAGTTTCTTCTTTTGAAAACCAAATCACAACACTGATGTCATATAACCTTAATTGTTCTACAACACAATCGGACGTTTCCTATGCACTACAGTATAATATGGG